TACTGATTTTCCATAAAAGTTATACGTTATAAAACTTAATATTTTTATGGAATTTTTATATCAAATTTTTTATTGGGATGTAATTATATAATATATACTAAATATGTTATATATTGATTATAGTAAATAATATTTATATAGATATTGATCATTTAATTGATAAAATTTTATGCTTTTTCACACTTTTTAATTTTGTGTATAAGTTAATTATATAATATTACTAACATTTTTAAATTCCTGTATTACATAAAATGTTTGCTTACTTTTTAATTATTTTTATAAGTTTTAAAAATTAAACAGTTTGATAGTTTTAAGAAGATCTTTTCAAACAAGTTGTCTATTATATGCTAATTTTAATATGTAAAAGTATTATAAATAATTTTAATAGGAAAATATGTTGTTTTAATTTAAGATATTTTAATATGATAATTTTTTGATTTAAAAACTTTTTTTTTATTAATTAAAAAAAAATAATACTAAATGAAAAATTTGTTTTATAGGTATTTTATATCTTATTATAGTCCAGTGTAAAAAGATTTGTATAGCAAAAAAAAATTTAATTTTGTTTACATATAAAATTTCTTAAATTTTAATAATATATTTATAAATTTTTTTATATAATATAGAATATATTTCAATTTATCTTTTTATATAGTTTTTTTATTACTTTTATATTTTTTTATGTAAAATTTAATAAAATAAAACTTGAATTTTTTTATAAAAAAAATACATAAATTTTTTATTAAAGAAATAAATTTTGATATTTTTTCATAATATATGCAATTTTATGAGTTTATATTACACAAGTGCATAGTTTTATATACAATAAATATATATTTTAAATTTTAACTAAATTGAATTAGTAGTTATTAAGAAATCAAGTTCTAAAGTTTAATAATTTTACTTTTTTAAATATAAAATATATATAAGTTTATATAGTAAATTTTATAATAATTTATACAAACAAATTGAATCAATTCTAATAAATTTTTAATTATTATATTCGAATTTTCCTTGATGAAATGATTCTAATAAGCCTAAAATCATAAAATTCTGATCACTAGTTGCAAAGAAGTTGATCATTAAAGTTTGACATCATTTATACAAAAAATATTTGGATATTGATCTTTGATAATCAATTTCTCTATAGCTAGTGATCAAAATTTTACGATTTTAGATTTATTGGAATCGTTTCATTAAGATAAATCTGAATCCAAAATTAGTTTTACAATTTTTTTTATTGATTCAAGCCGGCTCAAACAAAGAATTAATTAACTAATAAAAAATTTAATAATTATAAGAATTTTAACAGTAATATATAACTTAATCTAATATTTATATTTTTATACAGTCAACCCTCTCTAAATGCATCCTCTCAGGACCATAGTGAAAAATTTAAAAAATATGCATTTAAAGAGGATATGTATTTAAAGAGTAAATTTTTATATGAATTCTATATGCTTGGAACTGAATGAGAGTATGCATTTAGAAAGAAAATATATAGTATGTGCATTTAAAGAGGGTGTATTTAGAGAGAGTTGACTGTATTTCTGAATATATACTGATATAATTTAAATAAATAAAAAAAAGTTTACTTTAATAAAAAATTTTCTATAAACAATTTTTTTGATATACAAATCTTTTGCTAGACTATAATATAAAATATTAATATAGAATATTAAAATTTTTTTCAATAATATAATTTTAAATTAGTAAAATATATTATTTTCTTATTATTTAATAATCTTTCTTATTTTTACATATTTATTTAGTTTTTATTAATATTATCTATTTAGCTTAATAGTATTATTCAAAGAAGAACATAGATTATTTATCTTTAAAAAAGTTATTATTTCAGCTAAATTGTATTTAAATTCAAAAAGTATTATTAAAAACTTCTTATCATAAAATTTTTATAATATAAAAATTCATTTTTTATTTAAAAATTGATTTTTTGTATTTTACATAAAATTAAACTAAATAACATACTTTACAACTTAAGAGAATATTCTTTCTCCCATAAAATTACATATATTTTTATTACTAAAGTTGTATATTTTTATTTACTTGTATGAAGATCTTGAAAATTAATAGTTAGAATTGATTGAATACATAATATCTATAATTTCTTAATTAATATGAGTTGTAAATATAATATTTTACAATAATTAACTTTAAAATAAAGTAATTCAATTATAGATATACAAAATTTTTTTATATAAAAATGATCTGCATACGACATGTTTAGTATATGATAAGAATAATAGATATTATTTCTGCATTTCTAGTAAAAAGTTATCTTTAACTATTGATTATTAAATTAGTAATATCAAATTATAATTTTATTTAACATATTTGAAAAAGGATAAATTTATTTATCATACGTATGATACATCATCTCTAGGTAAAATTATATAATATCAGTCAAAATTAGGAATAGAGGCAGTTTTATCAGTTTTATTTCAATTACTCTTCAGTTCTACTTTGACTCTTCTTAAATAAATTAAACTTTAAGTGTTAAGTTAAATTTATATTAATAGAGCATTATGTGGTGATCAATTTAAAAAAATTTGACTGGTTATCAAATAAATTCATCCTATTATTATTATTTTTAATTTGATAACAATCTGATTTTAAGCTAACTCTTAGAACTGATTTGGATTCAGTTTCAGTTTAATTTTTAAAATTGGTTAAAAATGATTTGTAACTTAAAAAAACTCAGAATATGTTAAATTTATAATCAGTTCTAGAACTGACTCAGAATCGCTCTTTTTGAACCATTCCCATTCCTACTCTGTTTTCAAAATATATATGAAAAATGAAAAGGTAGGAAGTGTGACACAGGTGGCAAAAGGAAGGTGATGATATCATATATGTAATGAATTAATTATTTTATTATAAAAAAAAGTTTTTGCACAGTTTGTTAATTTCGCATTATCATTATATTAAATTAGTATAATTATAATAATACAAATTCTTTTAACATTTCAGATGAAATATCCTGACTGTATAATTTACAATTCTACAAATTAAGTATTTTAAGATTTTAGTAACTTATTGTTAGTCTTATAAAGGGACTTTTTCCTTTGAAATAGATTGATTGGAAATTTATGTTATTAAGCAAGTTTACATTTTACCAAATGTCCTATTCATAATATTGGTTTCTAAAATATTATTTTTAAAATGAAAAAAGAAATTTAGTAAGTAATAAAATAAATGTATACATACGTGAACTATATATATAATAGTTATTTACCACAAAATCAGAGATATCATCAGGGATCACGGCGGAGAAAGCAATGAAAAATTTCGATAAATACATCAATATAAAATACCAAATTATCTACAAACTTACGACATCAAGATTTCAAAATTCAAAAACAAGAATTAATGGATCAATGCAACAAATTCGAAATTATAATATGCATCCATTACAAATTCCTCAAATTATAAATCATTATTTACGTCCTAATAATAACAATAACCAATATTTAATAAATGCCAAGATGATTTTAACAAGGCTTTTTTTAGTTAAAACTTTTAATAAATATCTTTTACATTAATCGTTAAAAAGTTATTAGTAGATATTTCAGTACGATTATCAAATGATATATCCCAGGTTTTACGAAATATTAATATTTCCTGGAAAATTCAACTCCGATAGTAAATCCAGTAAAATATCGATGTGTAGTATCACGGGCGAACAATTAGTAAACGACTATAATGTAAATGGCAGGTGATACCCGGGGATAAGTAATACGAATACTTATAATGATTAACTAATAAAAAACCTTGCCACATACGGATAAGATATACATTGTTTTTTGGTTTCTTATAATTTGACTATTGAAGTGCCTATTTGTAAGTAACTTATCTAATAAATTTGCTCTCTGCAATTTCGCTCTTTATGACAAACAAACCCAAGTTATATTCTAATAAAAAGTTTTTCGTACACCCCGTGTAAAATTTGAAAAAGTTTTTTTTTTTTTTCTTTTTTTTTTTTACCAAAATGATAAAATACTAGGGAACGGGGACCGTGGTTAAGTCCGGAACGATCTTGACTAAAAAAATATTGCAAAAGCCAATCAGCATCGACTCAATTTTTGAGTGGGGACACTTTGCGTAATAATAATAAAAAAAAATTTATCATAAACTAATAACCTGGTTATTTTTTTTTTTTTTTTTTTTTTTGAAACTTATTGAAAATAACTCGCACATTGTGTAATAAATCCTACAATATAAATAATGAATTACATAAATAAAAAATATTGAGATTTTGCTCTTTTTTTTTTTTTAAAAATTTAGGCAATACTAGTTGAAGAAACAATTTCTAAAGAAGATCGTTGCCCGCATTCTGAATTGTCTTTGTAGACTTCATTATAATTAATTACTAATTGTGAATTTTGTTTCTCATCAAGGTACTATAAATGAAGAATAAATTCAATTCGTAATCAAAAATTATTGCGGCAAATTTAAAAAATCTACTTACTAGTAAATAAAGTTAAGTTCATATGATATTACCATAAAGGGGTAAATCATATTCATTAAAATATAATAAATTATATTATAATAATAATTAAATATAAGTTGTTCTTTATAATAAAGTGCAAATGTTATAAGAATTGGAACCTTAACGATTATGATAATAGCTATTTTATATAATGGTCTATTAACCTAAAGATAAAGATTAATTAAATGCTTATAAAAATAAAGGTCATAGAAAAAGAACTTACTTGCTTCTTTACATTTAACCACTTCTCTAACTCAATATTTGTGGGATCATGATTTTCTTCTACGGTTTCTATTAGAAAATTTATTGCCCGATTCAATCTATTCCAAATAAAAAAATTAATTGCAAGATACAATATTGATTCGCAAACCCAAGTTATAAATAATATTTTAAAATAATGGAGTGCTTTATCAAGTGTTTCAGGCTGGTTTGCATATAAACCCAATTTAATTACAATCGGTAGAAATATAAAAAACGAATGTATGAACATAAAAATTCCAATGAAATCTAGTATCCATTTATTTGGTATAAGTTTATTTATCTCTTCTTCTTCTTCTTCGTCATCAACTGAAGGCGTTGCATAAACTAATAAAAAAAAGATAAGCCGAGTTAACCTATAAAGCTGATTAAATATTGCAAATAAACTAATAAATTATATACCAAGGCTCAAAGAATGAAAACTACTCATCGATGATATTGCAATATACGGCATTAAATTTACGACTACAAAAACAAAAAATAAATTACGATCAAATTAATTTTTAAATAATAGACCAGGATATTTTAAATTTCACTTACTTTCAGCCCAAAGAACATTAGGATAAATTTCACAAAGTAAACTTGCCATACTAATTGCATACGCTAAATCAAATACATTTATTCATAGATATTCATTTGCGAATTTTGCCAATATTTTAACTCACCTAAACTATAAACAAGATCATTTAACTGAAGTATATGCAGCGGTCTAAATCTAGATAGAGAAATGCAGAATGACTTAAATTTATTTGACAAATAGGGAAACAACAATAATAAGGGTAAATACCTAAGAAATCCTCTTCCTCTCGTGGTTGGCAAGCGCATAGGCTGATTTTTAACTATGACTAAATAATATAAATTCCTCGCGCAGAGCAAAACGACGAGCAGATTAAGTATCAGTGAAATCCAACTTGCAATAACAAAAAATTCATTTTTATCGCAACGATATATGTTAATCCTAAAGTCGCATGCGCAGATTTGTGTGGAATTATCATCAGAAAATTTACAATTTCGTGCATAACTGTTATTTAACTGAACCATTATATTTTATGATTACATCGAATGAATGTTAGTTTTCCCAATTATTTATACCATCAGAATTGGTTCGGACGATCTATAATTAAATACTTGTAGTGTAACAAAAATCACAATAAAACAAAACCCGACAGTATGTTCCTTGCCAATCCAGAACAAATGAATAAAAATATTAGATTTAAAGTTTGAAAATATAAAAATTGGGCGATTAATCCGTTTTATATGATAATTGTATTACACAACCATTTTGGCTTACGTTCATATTAATTTTATTAATGGCTAGGATTTATATTTACTTGAAAAAAATTTTAAGAATTTTAAAAATCTAGATATTCAAATTATTTACCTACTATTTTAAAGGAATTAAAGGTTTTACAGTTTATTATAATAAAATAAAAATAATATTTACTTTTTTTATAAATTTTTATCAAACAAATTATCAAAGATTTTAATATATCTTAAACAACAATTATTTATTTATTAAATTATGTTGTTATATTGAATAAAATTTTATAACAAAATGTAGTTCAGACTTCTATATATCTATATAGGTATCATCCTATATAGTCATCATCTTTAAGCAGATTATTAAGAATCCTTTATATACAAATTTATAATAGTTTCTATTATGCTAAGTTAAAGTTTAATAATATAGTAAATATAAAAATATTTCTCTCTTTATAATTAACAAATCATGTAAATTAAATTAAATAAATGCAATCTTTAAATAATATTATATAAATTATCATGTTTTACTTTTTTTAATACACTAATATCATTTAAAATAATTTATAAAAGGTATTTGTAAATATAATATATTTATATAATTTAAATAAGAGATATTTTTCTTTTTTAATAAAAAAAATATTAAATATAATATAATGAATATAAGCAAAATATAATAAAAGCATTAAAATATTTAACTTTAATTTCAAAATTTACTAACATTATAATAAACTTTTATTAGATTTTTAATACTTAACAAAATTATATAAAGACTTGTAATTTATAAACTATAAAAGTTAAAGAAATTTGAAAATATTTTAAAATAAATTATATAAAAAAATAATTTGATATTTTAATTAATTAATTTATTTATTTTATTTAAAATAATTGTTGATTTAATAATTAATAACTTTAAAGATATTTAGATTATTAAATTAGAATAAGAATTTAATGTAATTCTTAATTTAATTTATGATTTAATCTAATTATAATTTATAAAGATAAAATAAAAAGGTATAATACTTTACAGAAACTTGGTATACTTAATATATAATAACTGCAAAGTGACTATATAATAAATATATAGTTACTACCTTACTTAGTAATAGCTTAATTACAGCCTAATAGGTACTATGCAATTATTACATAATAAGAAAACAAAGTTTATGTAAAGTATATACAGTAATTGATAAAAGAAACACAACAACTTATTTTTAGCTTTAGTAGCTTATAACTTATTAATTATAAATACTAGAAATATAATTTTTAATTCATTTTAATCCTTATATTTTGAAAAATATCCTATAATAATTTATTAGCCAATTAATAATGCCGATTTTGTATAATATAAAGATCTACATTAAAAATAGTATTTGTTGACTTTTAAGTTTAAAAAACTTTTTTAAGTAGGCTAGCTATTATAAACTAATACTAGATTCTGATTCTCTTTTATGTAATGATTTCAATAAGCTAAATTTTATCTAAATCAGACTATCCAAAATTTTATTGCTTGTAGAATATTTTAACATAAATTTTATAGTAAATTATTATATATATTTTTGAAAAATAATTATTTAAAATTTTTGTATGAAATTTATGTGAAATATAAACTTATAAATTTTTATTTAAATTGAATATAATAAACTATATATAAATCTGACATTTCTGAAAATTCACAAGTATTCATTTTTGATACAATAAATATATTTATTTAAATAAATTAGCATATTAAAATCAAAAAATTTGAGATTAAATTATGATTGAAAATTTATATTTAAATACAAATATTTTAGATAAATTCAAATTATCTAATTTAATATAAGTCAGATTTATATGAAAGTATTAAAGTAAGTGTAATTTATTATAATGCATAACTTTTCTTAATTTATTAGAATTTAATTAATTAGTAAAAAAATATATTTTATTAAAGTAGACTTTTACTAACTATTATATGATTTTTGAAATGTTAAATACTTTTGATTACTCACTGTATATATTAATAAAAAATTTATTAAATTATTTTTTTATCAATTAAAATATAAATAATATATATTTATTATAATAAAGTAAATACTATTTTATAGTTTTGGCAAAAAATATTGACAATTAAAATTTAATGATTATTTTATCTAAATTTTTTAAAGTTTATTTATATAGTTATTATTTTTATAAAATTTTTTATATAATAGATTTTTTTAAACTATAATATTAATCTATTTTTCATCTTTTTTTTATTATTATTTATAGAATTTTAATCAGATTAAAATCTAAAAAAAAAGTTAATTAATCAAAAATTTGTAAACAATATTCATTAAGAAGAGTAATTATAAATTTAATTTAATATTTTAAATTATTATTCTATTAGAATATTTACTTATTATCAAGAATCTGAAATTTTACTTAAATAAATTTTTAGTTATAATAATTTTATTTAATTCTAAATCAAATCATATTGATCACAAAATTAGTCTTCAGATGATTTATTAATATAATAATTAGAACTGATCAAACTGATTTATTATTTATTTCTGCTTAACTAATAAGTGTAAATATTAACTTTATCTTAACTAACTCAAGATTGATTTTCATCTAATTATTCTTAAACTATAAGAATTAAATAGAAATAATTTATAAAACTTAATATTATATTTAAAATATGTAGAAATACAATTAGAATTTTAGTAAATAATTTTTTTAATAATACTTAATTTTTTAATAATTATAATAAAAAAGAAATTAAGGATAAAAATCTAGTAGAAATAAAAGATAATCAAACTATTAAAAAATAAAAATCTCTTTTATAAAATCTATTAGTTAAAGCCATTATTTTATAAATAATTTATGATAAATAATTTAGAAAAAAATAGCTTATTCTTGATAAAAAAATAATTTAAAAAATAATAAGAAATTAAAATAATAATTTGAAAGTAAAAATAACTAAAAAAAAGAATTAAAAATTATTTAAATTAAACTAAAATATTATGAAATAAATAAAATTTAATATAAAATATAATATTAGTTTAGAATAAAAGAATTAGATTTAAAATTTTATAATAAAATTATCTTTATAATTTAATAATATAATTATAATAATAATAGTAATAAAGATCACTTAGTTTTATATAGTAATAATAATATTAAAATTTTTAAATAATAAAAAGAATTATAAGAAATTAAATTTATTTAATTAAGAATAATTTAGTAAGTTAAAAAATTAGAATTATTTGTTAATTTTTGAAATCTTTATAATATATTTGATGATTTAATAATTTGTATTAATTTATAAATAGTATTATTATAATATTTTTTTGATTGAAATAGTCTAAATCAATAAAAAATCAGATGCTTGATTTTAATTAATATTTATTGTTAAATGGTATATTTTTTAATTATTTAAATTACTGCTGATCAGATAAAAATAATTCAGCATCAATTAAAAATTTAAATAATCATAAATCAGCTTAAAATTAGCTTTAATTTAATATTAATTCAGTTAAATAAGTATATAAAATCTATATAATTTATTTAATTAAATTTATTAAATATAAAATTTTTATTAATAATAAAACTTAATATAAAATATAATAAAAATATTACTTAAACCTATTAATTAATTTCTTATTAAAAATATAAGTGAAAAAAATAGAAAAATCTATATAAACAAATAATAAATTAATAAAAAGTAATGAAAATATGATACATTTTTCTTTCAAAATTTCTTAAAATTGTTCTAAATATTTATTATTGTAATATTATTATTATTTAAATAATATAAAGATAATAAATAAAATAATTATTTTTTTTCTAAAATTATTTTAATATTTATTGTTATACCATCACTATTATCTAATAAAGTAAAGATAGTAAATAAAATAATAAAAATATAAAAATATAATTTATTTTTCTTTTAAATTTTCTAAAATCATAAAATATAATAAATAAAATAATAATAATAGAAAATGTCAACTTTTAAAATTATCTAAAAAATGTAAATATAATAAATAAATAATAAAAACTAAAAAATTGACTTATAAAATCATCTAAAAAACGTAATATAATAAATAAAATAAACAAAATAATAAAAATAAAAAAATTAATCTAAAATCACCTTCAAAAATACAAAGGTAAAAAATAATTCTTTTTATACTCTAAATTACCTAAAATTGTTATTTTTAAATTATTTACTATGTGATTTTATCACCTTTAATAGTAGATAATGCTTTTCTTTTAACTTCTATAAATTCTTTATTTTCTATCACATATTCTAAATAATATTTATGTTAATTTTAGTATTATAAATTATGTAAGATTAAGTTTTATAAGTTATTTTAAAGTATTAATAGAAAGTAACTAGTAGTAGCAATACAAATCATGATTGTATTTTTATTTTTATTATATTTAAGATAATGATATAATACTAAAATTAAATATAAAATATTAAAGATATTTAGCTAAAAAAAAAAATAAAAAAGAATGTTAATATAAAATATACTAAATAATTTTAAAAATATAAAGAAAATAATAAATTCTAACTGATTGTCATAAATAATTATATATAGCAATAATAAATTTTTAGTAATTTTCTTTATCTGATTTACTAATTTTAGATAAATAATATTAATAATCAATAAGCATTTAGAATAAAGACGATTACTTGTTTATTATTTTTCTTAAATAATCTTTATTCACTGAATTTTTTCTAATAAATAATAAATGATTTTAAATTATTAATTCAGATAACTCAAATTCTAAATTTATGCTATTTGCTTATATTATATACTCAATTATTATTATATATTTTCTATTGCTTCAAATGGTTCTTTTCACTTTTTTTTATTTTTTGATCTATTGATTTGATTTATAGAGAGATTTTAGCTAGTTTATTAATTGATTAACAGAAAATTGATAATTTATAGCTAATATCTTTATAATTTTAGAATTAAGTTATAATATATTTCAATATTTTTTTTATTATTAAAAAATTTATTATGATCTAAATTGTTTTTGACATTAACAGTTTTTAAAATTACTTTATAACTTAATATGAAAAGTAAAAAAAAATTTAGCTAAAAATTTAAAATAAATTTAAACATATATTTTTTTTTATGTTAGATTTTTTATTATCAAATTATTATTTTCAGAATTTAATAATTTTAATTTGTTATTAGTATAATAAACTAGTTTTTTTTTCTTTTGATTTTAATATTAATTTTGTGATTTTTCTTTATTTAGTAGAAGGAAGACTGTTATTTGATTGTCTTAATGATTTAAGTAGTCATATTCTTTTAAATTATTTAAATATTAAATAAAAAAATTAATTAATATAGATATTAGAATATTAATATATAAATTTTTAATTTTTTTTCAAATTTTTTTTTTTTGTCAAATTTTTCGTTAATTTTTTTAATCATTTATTTTTTTTTTAAAGATTAAAATTTTATCAATCTAATAACTTAATTCTTTTGTTAAATTTATTAAACTTTTTATTTAGTTTTTGATTCTCTATATAAAAAAAATTATTGTTATTTAATATAAAATAATAAATAAAATAATTAAAAATAATATATTATTTAAATTATTAAAAATTTTACCTACAGCTTTAACTAAAGTTATTATTATTAATTCTTATCTAAATTTCAATATAAATCAAATTTACTATATTATTTTTTAAATTTTATCAATAATTACTTTTACATTTAGCTCTTTTTCAGATGATTTAATTAAATAGATACATTTTTATCTTTTTTTCTATTATAGAAAAGTAAAAATCAATTTATTATTTGAAAAGTTAATTGATTGATTGATAAAATTCAATTAATATTTAACTTTTTTTAACTAACTTGATTTTTAGAAAAATTTTTGTGATGTTAATTGCAATTGAGTTTCTATTATAGAAAAGTAAAAAAATCAGTTTAATTTTTAAAAACATATTTTTAATATTAATTATAATTGAAATTCTATTAATTCTATTATAAAAAGTAAACAATCAGTTTATCATTTAAAATTTTGGTTGATTGATAAAATTCAACTTATGTTTTTTTTTGATAATTTGATTATAAAATAATAAAGTTTAAGTTAAAATTATTTTTTAAGAATTTTATATAAATTTTTCTATATACTATATGTTAGAAATAAACTTAAAAAGTATATCAAATAATACATTAAATCAATATAAAATTTAAAGTAAATGAAAAACAATTTATCAATACAATAAATACTTTAATTATACATTAAATAAGACTTAAAGTAAAATTGGAAATAATTTAATACTTTAGTATTAAACAAGATTTAAAGTAAATCAAAAATAATTTTTTTATCATGTATTAAGACTTAAAATAAATCAAAAACAATTTAATATTTTATTATACATTAAATGAGACTTAAATAAATCTGAAACAATTTTTTTATTAAGACTAAAGAGGAGAAATATAATTAAAAAAATGGCATAACTGAGTTACAACTTGTGATACAATTAAATTTGCTTATAATGCAATTAAATTACAACTTAAAGTAATTATAAATCCATCCTTACTTAAGATTTAAAATAAATCAGAAACAATATTAATATCCAATAAAAAATTTATTATAAAATTCTATGAAAAGTTCATAATAAGTGGTATTTAAATACAACTTAGCAAAAAATTACAACTTTATGAAAATAAGTATTTTTTTTTTTGAATGATACCATTTTAGCTAAATAGACAATATTAATAAAAAAATATGTAGAAGTTTAAGGAAAAATAAGAAATAGCGATGGCAAACATAATTTTACTATTTTAAAATTAATAATTTATAAAAGAAAATAAAATAAAGTTTTTGTTACTTTGAATTATAAACTATATAGAGAGAAAGAAAACAATAATTAGGAAAGAAAATTCTATATATAATATTGTTGTTAATGGCGAAAATCAAAGTATAAATTAATATTTATTATTATATAGTATTGCCAACATGAAATAATTATTATATAGAAAATGTTTTAAATTAAATTAATATTTTAGTATTATTTTTTTTTTTTCGTCTGTAACGCAGGCAAATTTGCCTGCATAAACATAATAGCATGTGAAAGTCTAGATACGCAGTAGGTCGATCAAATCAAATGGGTTAGGGTAATTGATCGACCATTGTTGGTGTTGTGTCCCCGAAGAATCTTTTTTTTTTTTAATAATTTCCTTGTTTGAGAAACAAAAGCATTTTAGTTATTTTTAAAGATCATTTTTCGCGCTTTTAAAAAATCACCCCAGAAAATGCTTCGTTTATTATTTATAACCTTACTATTAAGCGTTTTCCTAACGTACTTTGCTCAAAGCAAAGACTTCTTTCCTGACAGAAACAAATTGACCATTTTTTTCTTTTCCTGGTTCTCTCTGTCATTTCTCGGATTTATCTTCAATTATTGCTTCGGCTGTTGTTCTTCCAGTGACAATGACGATTACAGAACTGTCGGTGGTTTAACAAATGATATCTCTCATCATGCAGCAACGTTTGACCCACTTTCCGACAAATTCATAATCATAACCCTCTTGCTAAGCGGCGTCCTAACTTACTATGTTCAAAGCAAAGAATTCTTTCCCGATTTCCTTCCCGGCTTCTTCAGAAGCAAAACAAGCTTCTTTTTTTCTTCCTTGTTCTCATTAGTATTTCTGGGATACATTTACAGTAAATGTTTCCGTCATTGTTCTTCCGGCTACAAATTTCTTGTTCATTTACCAAACGATATCGCACATCACGCTGATTCATTTAGCCCATTTTCTGGGCGATTTCTAATCATAACCTTCCTACTAAGTGGACTCATAACTTACTATGCTAAACTAAAAGAATTCTTTCCCGATTTTTTTCCCGACTTTTTCAGAAGCAGAATAACCTTCTTTCTTTCTTCCTGGTTCTTATTTGTACTTATTGGATACATTTATAGTAAATGTTTCGGTTGTTGTTCTTCTAGTAACGACTACGAATTAATGGATCCTTACATCACCGACGACTATGAAGGAATCTATTATACAGCACTAAACCATATCTCTCATCGCGCTGATGCGTTTAACCCGTATTCCTATCGATATAATCCGAGTACTCGGAATGGACTTGGTGGAAATACTGCGAAGTGGAGTCATTCGCGTGTGGGATTGAATAATGAGATTGTGAGGAATTTTTATGATGTATAAATTCAGCCCCCCGAAAAGGAAATAATCTTGGTTGCTTCTTTTCTGAAAAACATTTATATTAGCAGCTTGTGAATTGTTAATGTTAAATAGAGAGTTTTTTTTTTTTTTTTTTTTTTATGATAATTCGTACATCTAACCTATTTATTAAATATTATTATTGTCTTATGTCTTGCTAGTAATATAACTCTGTGGTTATTATTATTGGTATTGTAAACTAGATTTATAAATAAATTTGACAGTAAATTTTAAATACAAAAAATCTAGAGGTTTTATCTTGACTGTTACTTTAATCTTTATCTTTAATATCTATGTATATTTCGGGTCATAAATTACTTATTCACTAATAATAATTGACAAATTTTTTTTACAGACCTAGTCTAAGTCATTACTGTGTCAAAACGAATTTGATTTCGTGAATATTAAAATTGGGCATGTTAGAGATAAGTTACTGAAATATATACAAGATACGATTAAATTCTTCGTTTTCGAAGAACAAATTTGATAGGACATATAATTACATAATGTCCTTTTCGTTGAAGAATTTTACAACGCGTTGAAGATTTCTCCTCTCTCGCGATATTTTTGCAATCGGTAGCATGGTAGCCGGATTTTATTTGCCGTGTATTTGTTATTAGGGTTAGTTTTAGAGTTAGGGTTTGGATTAGGATTAGTATTAGGGTAGAATTAGGATTAGTACTAAGTATTCTGGGGACTTGGAAACTTTTTTGTGAGAAAAATGCTAATTAACGTCACCCCTAATAAGAATATGTAATCCGGCTTTAAAATAAATTATATTTGAATACTACGGTCCGAAGCGATCAAAAATGAAATTAAAAAAAAAAAACGAAAATAATAATAATAAAAATATTTGCTGCGGCATGCAATAAAAAAAAAATAATTTAATGAATAGTAAAATTAAAAAAATAATACAAGCCTTTCTATAGTAGACTGACCCTCGTTACGAATCCGAAAAAGAACCTATAAAATAAACGATAGGAAATAATTAATTAAAAAAAAAAAAAAAAATTCTGTAAAAAAAAGATAAGAAAAAAAAATCTACCATATAATTTATCCCATTAAATCTTCGCATGATAGGTAGATTAGATCGAATCTGAAAAAAATATATAAATCGCAATTCCTTCATAATCCTACACCCATATCTATAAGAATCTATAAGAATCGTTGAATGTCTAAGCTTCATTTAGCAATTTTAAAATTGAATTTGTTGGTTAATTCAATCAAGTACAAAATGATAAACTTTCTACATATAAGGTTAAGTAATATGTATGTATGGTACAAGCTTTTCCGGCATTCTTTTCTTTATGCTAACGATAAACATCCTTCGTTTAAATCTATGTAAAATTCTATTTAGGTAAAAACGTGATGTCATCTTCAATCCTCTTTTCCAATAATTTCTCAAAAGATGAATCTAATTTCTTATCATTTCAAATCATCTATAAATTAGTAATAAATTATCTAAATAAATTATATAAAACAAACAAACAAATATGCAAACTAACAAAAATCTTTCTCTCATCAGAAGATTGATTACAATACTTTGCTCGGTGAAACCCGTACAAAATATTATCCTTTTTTATCAATCTTGTATTATGTAATCGCAAATCATCAATGTACTATTTTTTAAAAATCTCATCTCAAAAAATTATAAATAATTTCGACCTTGAAATCAAAAAAAAAAAAAAAAAAAAATTACTTTCTAGACATTCGCTATTTAATTTTTTTTTTTTTAAAAAAAATTTTCAAAACGCAAAATAATAAAATATGACATCAGCAAAATTATGGGGCGGTCGATTCAGTGGAAAAACTGACCCGTTAATGGACAAATTTAACGCATCAATCAATTTTGATAAAAAGTTATACGAGGCAGATATATTAGGCTCTCAAGCATACGCAAAAGCATTAGCTCGTCGTAATATTCTTACCACGGAAGAAAAAGATTCTTTAGTTAATGGGCTTGAAGACGTACTTAAAGAGTGGAGAGAAGGTACTTTTATTATTAAGGAGGGTGATGAAGATATTCATACTGCTAACGAAAGAAGGTTAGGTGAATTAGTTGGCAGTGTTGCTGGAAAATTACATACAGGAAGAAGTAGAAATGATCAAGTTGCTACTGATTTAAGGTTATGGGCAAGAGAGGAAGCGAAGAAATTACTCGTTTATTTGAAACAGTTGATTGGTGCTGCCGTTGAAAGAGCCGAAAAAGAAATTGATGTGATCATGCCCGGTTACACCCATCTTCAGGTTGGTTTATTGTGTGTCTTATCCATGTTCATCCCCTTCAAAAAAATGTGAATTGTTAATAATTTGTTGAATTCCTCCCTCTTTCCTCACATCAAACAGCGAGCGCAACCAATCAGATGGAGTCATTGGTTATTAACATATGCATGGAGTTGGCAAGCGGATGCAGAACGATTATCACAAATAATTGATAGATTAAATGTACTTCCGTTGGGCAGCGGAGCATTAGCAGGAAATCCATTTAACATTGACAGAGAATTTTTAGCAAAAGAATTAGGTTTCAAAGGTGTCATTCAAAATAGTTTATACGGAGTTAGTGATAGAGATTTTGTTGCTGAAATATTATTTTGGTCTTCTATGACTATGATACATATCAGTAGATTTTCCGAAGATTTGATTTTATATTCTACAAGCGAATTCGGTTTCGTCACTTTGGCTGATGCTTATAGTACTGGAAGTAGTTTAATGCCTCAGAAAAAAAATCCCGATAGTCTTGAATTGTTACGTGGGAAATCTGGTCGTGTTTATGGGCAGGTAAGGAACAATGCAAAAAGAGGGGAGTAGTGAAGGAGTTGAACTCGAAAGGAAAAAAAAAATCTCATCAATTTCAACTTTCATTATCTAGTTATCTGGATTTTTGATGACATATAAGGGGCTTCCAAGTACCTATAACAAGGATTTACAAGAAGACAAAGAACCATTATTTGATTCCGTGGATACGCTTGCTGGTTCTTTACAAATCACTGCAGGTGTATTATCAACTCTCACCGTAAGTAAATCATGGTCAAAAAAGGAATGCTTGAAATTCAACTTTCAAAGTTTTAACGTCCTCTCCAAATTTTATTTTAATAGATTTATCCTGAAAGGATGAGACAAAATCTAAGTATTGATATGTTGGCTACTGATTTAGCTGAATATTTAGTTCGTAAAGGGGTAATTATCATCATTTACGTTGTGGTGGTTCTCTTTAATGATTGTAAATCAATTCTAATTTTTTTTTTTTTTTTGTAATGTTATGTTTACGTCCAAAGGTTCCATTCCGTGAAACTCATCATATTGCAGGAGAAGCAGTTCGTTTAGCAGAAGATCGTAACACGACGATGGCTAATTTAACTCTAGAAGATTTTAAACAACTTCACATAGCTTTTGAAGATGATGTTAGTTTAATTTGGGATTACGAAAAAAGTATCGAAAATAGGTGCAGTCTTGGTGGTACTAGTAAACAAACGGTGAAAGAACAAATTGTGAAATTATCTAAATGGGTAAACGAGTGAAATTGTAGAGAATGAGTTAGGGTATCATATAATGGTTGAATTGATAGAGTAAATGGGGGGTTTTTTTTTCTTATAAAATTTAATGTTAATAATTCATTTTATTTATTTTATTTGTTTATTATTTTTATTTATTATTTATTTTATATGATGTACTCAACTATTAATACTTTATATAAGTTTTTTTTTTGTTGTTGCTTGCTTGGCGTAGCATTATCACGTCAACATTCAAAGTGATTTTGTGATGAGATTTTTTTTTTTTTCGTGTTACAAGATCGCGCCAAAAAAAAAAAAAAAAAAAAATCTAATCTTTTGACATGCAATGTTCGTTTTTTTTATAGATAAACTTAATCACTTAATCTTGTACTTAGAATATCAACTCATAACGTCCCTTCGTTGTTTCCTACATTTTTCTTTTTTTAAACCTGAATAAAACAAACCTAAAGAAATTTATGTTTTTTGAAATTTGAATTGAAATTTGTTTTTTATTTTTTTTTTGTAGAAAAAATTATTTAGATTTATTGAAAAAAAAAATTGCGTTTGTAGCAAACTTGAACAACTGATGGAATTTACGTGTCGAAAAAAGAATAATGATAAATATTTATATATATAAGTTTGATGAAATTAAGATAACCTTAATGAGTACGTGAGATTTGAAACGCTCTCACAAATAATTTATAAATGGTGTTAATATTACAAACATTTCCAACCATACAACATCCGAATCTAGATACTCTATATCATCAATCATTAAACTTAAAAGAAAATTTCAAATTTAGAAATAAATTGCAATTAACCTAGATGGAACATTAAATAAATAATAAATGGCTGATAATAATTATTTCAAAGACTTAACTGTTAGATAAAAATAGTAGCTGCTCCAATAACAACAAACCTTCTTATTTAAATGTATGGAAATAGGATATATAAATAATGACAACTTTCAGAACGCATCGAAAATTGAACGCGTTATCATTGTCATAATACCACAATTAAATAAAACCGATTAGTAGTAAGGAATCGATTAGTGATAATATGGGACATAGAATTTCCCAGGGGCGATGCGGTATACGAGATTCTACAACACGCTCGTTAGCATTTTCAAGAGAAACAAATGTAGAACCGAAGATATTGAGTATCCGCATGATCAATCATTGTGCAATATAATTTCGTTTTGTCTAAATAATAAGTTACTTATTTTTAATAAATAAAAAAAAAATATATATATTTTTGTAAATTAGAAATTCCAAAGAACTTAATTAAGAAAAGCCAAGTATAAACTAATTAATATTGCTGTATAAATATTTTAGAGAATTACTACTCGGACTAGTGATACCAGCGTTTACGTTGCAAAAAGTATAAAATTATATGTTGATTTAAATGATGTTAATAATCATTGTTCCTTTTTTTTTCAAATGAGATTCGCGACTCTGGGTCTACCGACTGACTGAGTCGACTCCAGAATTTGCCACGACTTAATGCCATGAATGAATCTTCTTCCTCCAGGAAATCGAAAAAACTATTCAGATATTTGAAATTGATGTCTTGAATTCTTCAATTACATCAACCTAAGTGATGAAATTTTTTTTTAAAATTATTGATTCTTAGTACCAAAAAACTAAGTAACTCATCTGTATTATCACGTGGGCATCAAAAGTTTTTTTTTTAAAAAAAAAAAAAAAAAAAAAAAATAAATTCCGATTCACTAAGAAAGGAATTTGAATACTAACCGACGATCTTTCAATACTTCTGACGAGCATATCATACATAGTGGTCACCCTTTTATATATCTTTTGCTGTTATTGTATTACTTGCTAATAATAAATAAGGTATTCCGATGAAAAAGAAGTAATATTTAAATAAAAACAACTTAAGTGTAATGGGACTTCTGTCCAATTAATTTTAAATTTTCCAAGTAATCTCATTCACAGGTTCTCGCTGAAAAATTACGTGTATAATACATTTCAAATATCCCAGTGCTTGACTGAGTCGAATTCTAACACTAAATGGTCAACTACTTCTCCCTTTGCTAATTTTACGGTACCATCATCATTTTTTTTTGAATATTTAAAAAGAAACCTTTCGTCGATTTCCAAACTTGATCTCATAAGTATTTTCTTAACATACGTGAAAATTCTTGTTGAATTCTTTTTTGCAAATATACTGATTGACTGAATCCCTTTTTCAGGAGTTTTATCAACTCCAAAAGTAATTTCAATTGGATACGCATTTTACGTTAAATTCTTTCAACGATCTGGTCAAACATTGTTTTGATTGTGTTGTAAGATTGCGTTGTACTCATTCTTTGTCTCCTTTCATCACTTACATTTTGTAATAAAACCGGTGAAAATTCTTCAAGATTAATTTGGCATGTCGACAAATTTCTTGAATTAGATATCGCATTTGTCCATAGAAATTCTCTTTTAATAAATTTATAGAGTTTACTTTTTTAAATAATTAATAAATTTTTTATCGACAAAAATACCTTTACAAAAGTCACTTATTCTCTCTGTAACTTCTCCTAATTGACCTCCGTCGGGTAATTTTCGAGTTGTGCCAACCATCACATCCCAAGGTTGCTAAAATGATTAAAATTAAGGAATATAAATAAAATGGGTTCATCTTTCTTATTTAATAATACATACTTCTGCTAGTTTGACCATGTTCTCTGATATTATCTCTGCAATGAAACACTAAAACGTCCGCTGCAGAGTTACGAATTTGATTGTAAAAATAAAAGAAATAAAATAATAATATATAAACTTACGTTCCGTAAATAAATTGTAATTTTCTTTCGACAATTAATCCAGCCTTATCATTATAATTATCGCATACAAAACATTTTTTAAACGAGACTGATTTTATTTAAAACACAATAAGCAATTTATAAGGAAATTACTATTTACTGAATATTTGATTCCAAAATCTTTTAAATGTTAAAAATTATTTCTAATTAGTTAATAAACAAAGATATGATCTTATAAAATTTATGCCTTTTAATTTCATTTATGTGGAATGAAATACGTCACATGAATTCAATACAAAAATGAGGGTAGTGCGTTAGAAAAATCATTCTTAACAGATGGATTTAGATTATAAAAAGTCATTACAGGTTATTTGGAGAGGTTATTAAAAGACAGTTATAAGTGCATTAGATTTTTAATCAAGTTTTAATTGTACTTACTGTAATAAACACTTAAATTTTTGAAATTTTAGTGGAATTTGATGATTATGCGATTGCATTAAATTCTAATTGAACAAACATAACATATTATCTTCTTTCGCATACCGGTAATCGTGATGGTCGTCTAAAATTACAAATAATATTTAAAATACAACTCTTGGCAACTCTCAAAAATATTTTTGCGATTGGCCTCAGTCACACGTAATTAGAAATGTCAATTTTTATTGGCTCGTCTAACAAATACAAAGGTTTTTTGTAATCGATATTTAATAAAAATCTTAGGTGATTAGGTTAAAGCAATCATAATTCCTGTAAGATTGAAACCCTATTTCACAATTTCATTCAAATCAATCAATTCAATCCGCCACTAAAATAGCAATTCGTTAATACTTAATCATATTTAAAATTTGGTTAAAATTATCAGTATATACCTTATTATTTTCGTCTTTTCCATTTCCATAACAAGAAACTTCTTGTGTTCCATCATCAGAAAAGATGGGTTGACTGTAAAGTGCTGGTTTACTAGTACTGATATGAAAAAGACAGATTATATCACCATTCATCAAATGACCCGAGTCATCATAATAAGCATTTGAATTATGACGTCGAATAAGCCAATTGTCGTCATTATTTTCACCGAGAAAGACGGTCACTAAAAGTTCATTTTGTAAGTTTAAATTTACGTATAGTATATATTAACTTAAAGTATACCTTGCTGATACTTTGATTCGGGTTTGATTTTCAGAAAATGGGAATGTAAATTTCCTCCTGACGCCTGATGCTTAAATCCAATGATGGTATTAAAGAGCACTGGGCTTCCCCTACTTACACTTTTATCATGGGCTCCAATAACCGTCCAAATATCATTTTTCATATCTATTTCCTTACCATTACCTATGGCCTTTGTAAATTTTCATAAATAAAGTTGAGTTGACAATATTAAGTATATAGTATAAATAATCATACCAGATATTGATAAAGGCATATGACTCCTTTGGTAGACAAATATCTTCCAGTAGTCACATGGACAAGAGCGACCTTCGATCCATATACAATTTTCCTTTTCTGAAATTCATGTTATTTAAAAGGTTGTCATGGTAAGCAGATTATAAAAAAACTTTCGATGTGAAATCCTCTAAAGTATCTTACAAAAAAATCTTCTTTCACTTCTTCAGCACATAAACGCCAGTTGAAATAACGAACGTTGCTATTTGATAAATATGATTTCAACCTTTTTTTTTTTTTTTTTTGTCATTTTGATATTAATGTGCAAATTCACACCTAATTTCGCCATTAAATCCCATGTTGTAAGCACGTCCGATGTACAGTGGTCTATCATTGAAGACAACCTTTTGCGTTCTAACATCCTGGATGCCAAAGAATCCTACCCATTCACCATCTACGTAGATATCTAACCTCTTTTCAGAATCAGAAAGTGTGTAAGTAAGATGGTACCATTTGTTTAATAAAAGTCCGTCATCGATCTCAACATCAAAAATTCCTGCATTGGAATTCCAGTTGCCTGTGAAGCGAGCATATAAAGAAGATTTATTTGGTGTGAGCCAGAATCCAGGCGTACGAATATCACCAATGGCACCTAAAATCGTATTTATATTTGTATTTCATTTGAGACCGAGGTTATAGAAATTGTATTCTATCACAAATAAATTCCTTCTTGTGGTTATCCCTACTTTTTTGAAAAATACTAGTCCAATCGGAATTATGCTTGTGAAGTTTTAACCGTAAAGTTATAGACAGTTCGTCATCCACCACGGGCAAATCAGCATGTGCAAAGATTCGTTGTTCCTCTTTATTCAAGGTGATAGGATCTGAAAATAGCTCAACCCAATTTTTGACAAAGTGTTTCTTCATTTTATGAACAAAACAAATAATAAATTGATATTAGATAACGTTTCATTTACTAGTTAAATGAATAAATTTAAAATGAGGGAAACCCTTTATTTCGTTAAAATGCAGTGATCCCATACCCATTCCCTTTTTATATCTTATAAAACACAATAGAAACATTGTCTGTTTTAAGATTTATGTAATCATGCACATCAAAAATTTACTGTATACTTGTTACATGGAGCATTGGACATAGATTAAACAAACTATATCTAGTCCTAGTAATATTTACTATTAAAGATTGTTTTGTAATTCCGATAGTTTAAATTTGCTTTATAATAATCTTCTTACTAATTCGATACATTTTTATACTTTAATAAATTCCTTTAACAGTTCGTTATCCTCATTTACGCTTAAATAAATCTTTTTGTGCACAGCTCTCTAAATTACAATTTTTTTTTCTTGGTTTTTTCAAGAAAGCGAGGTGTCACATTGTTTTTTTAGGTTATAATGTATTCATTTACAGTTTAATTTGTCTGATCGCTAACTTAAACCGAAGTGATTAATCTTTAAAGATTTAGGGTTCGACAAGTATGTTTCACGAAATCTTCAATAGTAAATTTTACTATAGGCCTAGATAGTTTTGATTTAATTAGTTGAGCGCACACCCCAAATGGAGCATGCGTATATTAAGAATAAATATTGCTATCTGAAACGTAAGAATAGACGTTGGAACCGCCTAAAAAAATCCTTATAACAGAACAAAGAAAATTTATCGCATTATAATATATATATATCTTTTTTTTCTTTTATTCATGAAAATAGTTGATATGTAAAATATTACAATAAAGGATTTCAAATTATAGTCATTTTTTTAACTTCACATAAATCGTACCATTCGCTTGGTGGATTTAATTTCTTAATTTCTTCAGGCAATTCAACAAATTGTACAAGTAATCCGGCCTCAACATGCCACTATACAATAAAATAACTTACAATAAATAATTCTGAATAATTACGTCATTTATGAACCAATAAATGACTTTAAAAATAAATGATTAAAATACCTCCTACAATTTTTGTTAAATGATAGTAAGAATAATAAATTAGTAAATTGATTTTTATAAGAAAAAAAAAACAACAGAGAAAAACTTTAAACATTCCATGTGACAATGACACGCAAATACTCCAGGATTGTTTGGTTTAAATCGAATTACAGTCCATCTAATGTTAATAAAAAAGGATATTAATGTTTATAACTTTATAGAATCAACGATGGGAAAATTACCCGTTAGGCGGTATTGTTGAAGTATCTCTTTGAATGGCGTCGATTGTATTGAGCTTTGAATAATCAGGAAACATTGTTTCATTGCCCCACCCAAGTACCCAAAATTTATGTCCATGCTATATTAAAATCATTGGTTAAAATCTTTTTATATTGAGAATAACTTATTTTTATCATTTTTATATTTACTAACCAGATGAAATGGATGTTCCCCATCATCAGTGTCTAAATATCAATTATTTATTAGTAAAGTTATCATGGTGCTCTATCTTTGCACCCTTCCTAAATTACACTTACTGATAAAAGCAAGATCAACCACTTCTTGAGTATTATTGTAAATAAAGACATTTTGATTACGTCCAAACTCATGATTACCGGAAATAACGTTTTGCAAAGTATTGTTTACTCTCATATTCGGCACATAACTTGATCCATTAACAAAAGCTCTTTCAACGCCATTTTCATCTTCTTTGAATTCAATCTTCAAAACGATTTTTCTAGTAGCATCAGGAATCTTTTCAAGATAATACGGTTTCAACAACTTTGCATCCAAATCAACACATCCATCCACGTTATCTTCCCATGAGTTAGAAGAAACGGGTTCGGAATCTGGTTGTTGTGTTAGAGAATCTTTGTAATGTATCATAGCTTTAACAGTACTTGTGAGATGTTTCGTGTTTTCTGGCAAACAATCTTTATGAAATTTGGCACGCATCCAATAATTTGATTCAGGTGATGCAATCGCTGTCACTAACACTGAATAACGTTGTCCAACATGAATGGGTAAGCGATTGATTTTATGTTTTTGCGTCAACGAACCGTCCACTTCTATAATTTCCATCTCGTGATTATCAATTGAAAATGTGAACGCCGAGAACCCGCTAAAATTATAAGAATTGATGATTAAAAATTCATGATATCACGTAAAACGATATGACCGATTTCATATGTAAATTGAAACCTCGTGTTGATAATTCTAATGCGATATCTTTTGTTGGTTTCGAATGTGAATTTCGAGTGACCCGCATTCTCGAAGCAATTTGACTTGTCTGACGCCCATTCGCAATTATAATTATTTTTTCCATTGATAAGTCCATTATTCGGTACAGGCTAAACAAATAAATATAAGTATGACGCTTAAAATGATCCATTTGTCCTAACAACATCTTACCTCATCCCCTTGGCTGTCAGGAGAAAGGTATCGCTTTAAAAGAATTGCGGATTCTTCATGATACCAATCTGTTATCATAACAATCAGTTCCTCATCATAATCATTAAGGTACGGATCCTCGGGATCATGAATGATAAATGCTGCAACCATTCCATCGACGTATTGAGAGATGTAATGTGAATGGCTATCCAAAAAAAGAAAGAAAGAAAGAGATTAATTTAAATTTTAGATATATTAATCGATATGTCATTCCGTTTATACTTACTACCAATAAGTTCCACTTTGATCGGGAACAGAAAAATCATAGGTGAAAGTGTCATTATTAGGTATAGGACATTGCGTTTGAAAAGGGACACCATCCATCCAAGGAGTTCCTCTTTGATATAATCCGTGTACATGAATTGACGTGGGTTCTTCCAAATTATTATGTACGTGAATTAAAACTCGATCTCCTTTATTAACCTCGATCGTAGGACCAGGATATGAACCATTCATACTCCAGATTTTACGTTGATACCCATCAGGGGATAAATCAACTTTTGACAGATGTAAATCGAATTCACGTGTTTTATGCGGAATCGTAAATGTTGTTTGAGATGATGCAAATATGGAATTTTTCAAGTTAAACGTTCTTCGTTTCGTATCTCCTTGTGCTGTGACACCACTTTCAGCTACGGTGGTGGGAACAGCAGAAACAAAAAAATTGTAGGATATTCTGATACATGAAACGACTAAAAAGAATAAAACGACGACGAAAAATTTCCACCTCATAATTAATATTGTCGTAAATAGAGAAGAAAGGATGATTTAAAACATATTATAGATATTTATATTTATATTCAAGATTGTCCCCAATCTTTGTAAAAAAAAAAAATTTTTTTGTCCGATTAGATGATTGTCTTACCAAATTACAGGGCTAAATAAACCGTTTTGTACGTTTCCACATGGAAAAAGACTTACAATAGGATAGTATGAGAAAACCTATATCAAAGAACAAAGTAATAAGGCAATTCTTTTTCCATTTAAACTGATTCACAAACAAAAAAAATTGAAACGCATACACGAAATAAATCTTTCTAATTATAGGATATTAAACTCTTTTATGGAAAGTAATCCAAATACATTCAGATGAACGACGGAATACCATTTAATAAACATCTATAATTATTTATACCGGTACGCGATGTTTATTTTAAAATAAATTAAATCAAAATTGATGATAATAAAAGCAAATATTGGAAATTATTACTGAAATCATTACGGTTTTTAGAAAGGTTCAACCATGCCGAATGAAAGATCAAACTTTGCGCATTTTATTACGTAACAGATATATATGTACCGGGCACTTAAAAATTAGAAAATCGACGATTTCAAATTAAACTTTTTATTTTTTTAATTAAATCACCTTTGGTGAGTTAAGTTGTTTATCATAACGAAATACACATATTAAAATTTTTATAAATATCCAATCGGGAACAAATTTTATATTCAGTATTTTACGTAACATTTTCATTTATTAATTAAACTTGACTTGTTCTTCGTATTAATAAATATATGGGACCTTTGCAATAGAAAGGGGGGAAACTGCCGGAAAAAATCAATTTTACTTTTATATGCCAAATATGATTTTTAGGTTCAGAGTTAGCATTCAAAGGTCCCATATATCCTCAAAATTACATTTAAATTTGTGGAGATTAACATTTCACGTGACTTGTGACTGTCAACGATTTACCCCAGTACAGCAGTATCGACCACCAAGAACTTAACCTTGGGAGGGGGGTGTAGACCCTTATCGTCCAACCCCATGTATAAATAAATATCTTTAAAGTATATGTCACGTGACATATGCAGTTGCGGCTTAGGTTAAAGGTCTAAGAATTCTACCCCCACGTGATCTTGTCTGGCATTAAGGCATTAAGAAATTATCCATGTGACGAATAAAAGGTAACGAATATGATTTCGCAACCCAAAGTAGGGCTCTTAATCGAATCGAGTAGGATCGATGATTGATTGAGTCAATCAATTTTTCGATCACAAATTATTGGATTCGATCAAAATTGGACTAACTTTAATTGATTTATAATCGATTAAATTTCCTATAGTTATTCTAATATCGTTATAGTTTGTATAAAAAAATTCGATATTTTATATTGAAAGTTATTTTATTTGTAGTTACATGCATTATTTTTATTTTGTCAGAAAACGCATTTCAGAGTATCGGAGTCTTTATTTATTATATTTATAATATTTAAAATTTTGAATATTATAAGATCAGATGATCAACGCATGCAATTAATTTTAACTTTTTAACGTGAAAAACTTTTAATTTAATAACCTCTAAAATGCAGACCAAACAAACTCAAATTATTTCAACCCAGCCAACTAAGAAAAATAATAATTTTGATTTGTCTTCAGATATTAATCAGCTTGGATAATATTAGAACCCCACAAGTTTTACCTGTAATGAATCCATTTCAATGGTGGATTAATAATAAACAGAAGTTTCCAAAATATTTTGGTGTCATAGCCACTTCTGTTCCAAGTGAACGGGCTTCTTAGTGATGATGTGTATCAAATTACTAATGAATAGACCAGTTTAAAGCCAAAGACGGTTAATAAATTATTATTAGTAAAACGAAAAAAATAAATATTAAATCTTTTTAGGAACTTTAATTGTTAAATTTGATTACAATATTGTAATAAAAACTATAAATCAATCAATGATCGATCAATTTAAAATCGATATTATTTGATCGAACAATGCATTCGATTAAGGAATCGATCACACGTGTTCAATTAAGTAATTCGATTTTTAATCGATCATGTTAGTGAGGGACCGATCAAATCATCGATTATGATTTTTTTCATCAATTAAATGCCCTAACCCAAAGTTCCCAGAATACTTATGAAAATGGAAAACGAGGAGGGTGTGACGCTTGGTGACAAATATTTCTATGATCACGTGGAAGTAGAATTTTTGGTGCGTGTAACGATCAAGATAAACAATGTGTAATGCAGTTTATTGTTTTTTAGTGCAAAGATGTGATAATCTTTTAATTATTCAACTCTCGACTAAACACGATGATCACTAGTTAAATATTCTATACCTTCTTAATTCTCCAATTTTTACCCAAAAAAAAAATAAATATTTTATGGAAAATACAAAGTGGTTAGAACAAGCTATAAAAGAAGGACATATAAATTTTCACGCATATGAAAAATTTTCGGACGTTGTAGTAATTGGGAGAGGTGCATTTGGAGAAGTATATAAAGCAGCATGGGATAATCGTGGGATGATCGTTGCATTAAAAAGTCTTTTAAGTGACTTAGAAGAGAATGTTAATCCACAACTATTAAACGAATTAATCAAAGAGGTACTTGTATAAATTTTATCAAGTTCATTAGTGAGTCTTAAGTAGCTAATCGTAATATATATATATATTTTTTTTTTCGGGTGATTTAGTTGAAATTGCATAGAAAAGTTGATTATCATCCAAACATAGTGCGATTTTACGGAGTTAGTCAAAGTATAACAGCACAGTAATTTGAATTGTTTGACAATTCCTTTTCGTGAAGTTAATAATTAAACCTCCTTTTTTTTGATAGATCCAAATTTAAACAAATATTTGTTGGTATTGGAGTATGCAGATGGGGGAACTCTCCGACGTTATTTATCTAAACACACATCATTATCATGGACTGATAAATTAAATCTTGCAAAACAATTGGCAAGTGGCATAGCATGTTTACACGAAGAGAACATAATTCATCGAGACCTGGTGAGATTCCTTTACCTATTAAAGCTCTTCATTTTATTTATTTCTACAAAATTTGATATTAAACCTTTTCGATATTCTAGCACTCTAGTAATATATTGGTGAACAAGGGAGAAATAAAAATAAGTGATTTTGGATTATCAAAGCACTTGGGTGAAATGTCAAGTGCGATATCAGATGTAAAAGGAGATATAGCATATATTGAACCGCAATGTTTATCAAATCCAGAACATAAAAGAAATGTTAAGTCAGATATATATAGTGTTGGAGTTTTATTGTGGGAAATATCAAGTGGTAGATCACCATTTCGTTCATTAACGCAAACACCGTTGGCTCAATTAGAACTTGCTAATAGAATATCAAAAGGAAAGAGAGAGAGTCCGGTTGCTGGAACTCCCAAAGCTTTTATTAAAATTTATACTCAATGTTGGGATAATGATCCAAATAATCGACCAAATATTCATAAAGTATTAGAAGATCTTAATGACATTCATCTTGATGGGTCTAAACCTAAAGTGATTAGCAGTAACAATACCAAGGGAACTGAGAATAACAGTCGTTCAAATATTAGCAAGTCCATCAATCGAAGGAGTGTTTCATCATTTACGGAAATTTCATCGGATTTATCGAATGCGATTAATGATATTGACGAGACTTATCATAATGGTCATTCAGATGGTATTACAGGATCATGTTCAGCGGATACGGGCTTATCATCGGAAATGATGAATGCAATTAATCAGATAGATAAAGTTTATTATAATAATCGTTCTGACAATGCTTCGGAAGCACGTTCAATCAAATCACTTAATATTAACAGTTCTGCATCATCGAATTCTCAAAACGTTAGTAGTTCTTTAAAAAGTCCGAGGTTACCCAAATCACGTCGTAGTTCACTTAATTCACCACCATCATCTCCCACATCATTAACGCACGGTAGAATTCAAAATACAGATAAAACCTTCTTGGAAGAATTGTTAAAATTCTTTGAAGAATTGTTAGAATTATCTCCGGACACAACTACAATGATCTCAAAGTTAAAAGGATATTTACATAATCGTATGAGAGAACACAAATCAACATTTAAATTATTACTCAAATATCATAATGATGTAAGGTTCGCTTGTTTAATTGGATATTGCTTGGAATGTGCTATTGGCACCGCACAAGATAAACACGAAGGTTTTAAATATTATCAAAAATCTGCTGATTCAAATAATTCTAATGGTCAATATTTTTTAGGTAGATGTTATTATTTTGGTTATGGTGTTAAACAAGACCGGACAAAGGCTTTTCAATTACTTAAAACAAGTAGTGATAATGGTAATAGTAGAGGTCAATGGATGTTAGGTTTTTGTTATGAAAGGGGTTATGGTACTGTTAAAGATCCTACGCAAGCTTTCAATCAATATTTAGCTAGTGCCGAAGCTGGTAATGTTACTTCCCAAATGGAATTGGGTAGATGTTATGAAGAAGGTATTGGTACAAAGAAAAATATTCAACTAGCTTCTGAATGCTATGAAAAGTCTTATAAAGGTGGTTTCACTCTTGCTAAAAAGAGATGGGATCATATATTAAAAATACAACGTCGTCTTCAGCTATCCAAAAATTCACCAAATATCACAGTAAATCCTTAAAGATGTAGATCATTGTTTTAACATTTTGTAAAAATGCATTTTAATAATAAATTCTTATTGTCGGAACCGATTCTCACGAGATATTTGCGGGAAATAGTTAAAAAATAAGGAATCAATGAAATTGTGTACCTTTCGTTATTTCGAACTCTTCTAAGCTGAAGGGTTCAGATTTTTTGCTTTTCAATTTTCAAAAGCAGGCATTGCGTCATCGAGGTGATTTAGAAAAGTCGCGTGCAAATACTATGGAACTTCCCGATCGTGTTCCGAGTCAATCATTTTCGACCTTGCGTATGTTTAAGGTTGCATGTTTTATGGTAAAAGCGAATATTATTGTTGTTTTAAAGATTTTGAACTTCAACGGAAACATTTCGACTATAGACTATGACAATACCACAAGTCGCGATAAATCCAAATTCATAATGCTTTTATGGTTTTATAAAATTACTTGCGTTTGATTTAACAAAAAAAAAAAAAAAAAAAAGAATAATCATTTTTTAATCTTCAAAGAATAGTCTATATGAGGAACCCCTTGAGACAAACTGCCCATGCTTAATATATCAATATCTATTCAACAAAATAATAAAATTTGAATATAAAATGAATTTAACATTTTGAAAACAAATGATTAATTAGACTTACCAGGTGAAAAATATTCAGTTATATTCTCTTCGGTAATTCCACCACTCGATTCAATCAAAAAAGTTCTCTTTCCCTTCCATCTTTGTTTCAATATTGAAGCAGTTTGCTTTAAATTATCACCCTTCATGTTATCCAACATAATAATATCCGCACCGGCTTCAATAGCTTCATCGGCTTCCTGCTCACTACGACATTCTACTTCCACCCGTAATGAAAAACCTCCCACTTTTCTTGCGCGTTCAACAGCTCTTGTTACAGACCCTTGACTCCAAATATGATTATCCTTTAACATTATCATTGAAGATAAGTCCATGCGATGTGTATCAGCTCCTCCAACCAGCATACCATATTTTTCAACAATTCGAAATCCTTGTAAATTCATTACGTAAGTAATCTATTTTAAAATTATTATTATAATTTTTTAAAAAAAAAAAAAAAAAAAATTTTTTTTTTTTTATACCAGGGGTGGTTTTTCTCGTTCCAGCAATTATACCTTGAAATCCAAACTTTTCCTTGAGTTCAATACATTTCCTACTCCTACAAAAGGATGACTTAATTAACTTAATCAAATCAAAGTAAATCAAGTTAAATCAATTCCTCCGAAATAAAAATGACATACCTCGTAGCTATACCACTACAGCGGGCCAAAATATTTAATGCGGTACGTTCTCCCAATAAGATATCACATGATTTACCATAAACGCGTGCAACTTCACTTATTGGTTCGAAATGATCTCCTTCTTTTAGATCCCATTCAACTCTAATAATCTCAATTAAGGAGGTAAATTTGAATATTGTTTTAATGTTTACGTTTACAATTATTAAAACTACTGAGGGAACAACCTGCAATCTAATTGATTGAAAACTTCCTCAAAAAATGGTAAACCAGCTAAAACTCCCTGAAGTGAATTTGATTTAATATAATTAAAAAAAATATATATATACTTTTTTTTAAAAAAAAAGTAAAAAAATATTCACCGTGGATTTTCCATATAATATAGCAGTTTCTTGAGCTTCTCCTACGACAAATCCTCCATAATCAAATGATGGAACATCTTCTTTTAACCAATTCCTAATGATTTCTTTATACGATGGAGATAATAAATGAACATAGACAGAATTGATGACTTTTGCCATGTCAAAAAATATCATAAAAAAAAAAAAAAATTAAAACATCAGACTATTTATAGTAAATTAAATCACTTCGGATAAATTAAAAGGCGTCATATTATGTTTACGCCGATCATATGCGTTAAACATAAATTATTTTCAAACACACGACTAGATTATCCATCTCTTTTATGAACACCCAAAATGTTCGTTAAATTGTGCATTTAATATTCATTCCAAGATATTTCAATCGATTTTTTTCTTTATAATTAGTTACATTATTCTTTATTTATTATAACCTTGTCTTCCAATATTTATTTATTCAATTAGAGATTTACAGTATATCGAAGTTAAAACCGGTATTTCAAACGTATTCTTCGTCTCTAATTAAAATGTATTCAAATCTTATATAATGTATTAATTTGTATTTGTATTGGATTATTCCTTTATGGTTTGAATTTTATTCTTAAAAGAAGCATCAGAAATAATCTCAAATTAAAGTAGAACTTTCGTTAACCCACAAATTTTACTAATGAAAATATTGTAATAATGTTCTTTTGACTTTTGAATTTACACGTTATACTTAAAGCATTGGTGATCAATCAATTTTATGTTCCGATTGCCAAAGACTGTTTGTCGGATTCGTGACATTAAATCAGTTGGGTCAAGCAAGAATTAACAACTTGATTTTCCCCCCCCAAAAAAATTAAAAAATAACCACCGCAGGCACAATACTTACTCTGTTGCATTTATATGGTGATACCCTAACATTAAGTATGAAAAAAGCTGAGAACACAAACATTTGCATGTACAGGTCTCAGTGACAGGACACAAAGTCTTTTCATTGCAGGTCGCAATACTTTTGTGATTTTATTATTTTTTTAAAATGACTTTCTTCGCATCGCAGTCTCTCTCTCTCACGTACAAAAACATTTCTCACTCTTAATAAGATGATCAATTTTTAGTGTTACGAAATTCTGGAAAATTTATCAAACTTTGTTCCCAAGTTTCCGAATAATTTATCTTTTTAATTTTTATTGATTTTATTGTAGGAATTTGATAGATATTCACCTCGAACGCTTCGCAATATCAATTTATATCATACCAAACCTTTTCTTGTAAGATTTCTCATTACGGACTCGAAGGCTGTAGGAATAATGTGTTGCAAAGCTTGTTACAGTTTAATAATATACTTATATTTTTATATTATACGAAATCTTTTTCCGTCTTTTCCCCTCGTATTAATAATTTAAAGTGCTCCGAGCCGATCAAGTCGACCCGGGTTGTTTGACCCGACTCGAAATTTTTTTCTCGAGTCGGGACTATCATTTTTATGACGCGCATTCATGTTTTTGCTTGACCCCGAGTCTGACCCGGGTCGACCCGGGTGCCAAGCGATCTGATCTAAACAGATATACATACAGTGAATAGATTTTTTTTATTTTATTTTGTTTTACGTTACGCGACTTTAATTTGTAACAAATAAATAATGAGTAAACCTATCGACTTTACCGATAGTACACTTCTAGATGAGCGAATAATGCGATATTATTTATTGGCTTAATTAATAATAGTGTGATAAAATAACAATGATCGATTGATCAATTTCTTTTTGAGAAAAGAGATTGTAAGAGATCTACAGATTGATTTAACAAACTTAATTTATTTATGTAATACGAAATATAAATAAAATACTGTACGTATAAAAAAAAAAAAATCTGGGTGACCGTGTCAAATTTAAAATTTTATGTCACGAGAATATAAAAAAAAATTTTCTGTCCGGCCTTAACACATTTTTTATAAAGCAAATATATAATATATCTTGCGTATAAAAAAAAAAAAAATGAAAAAAATCTTGTCGAGGTTCGATTAGGAGAAAAAAAAAGAATGCTTTAATTTCCTGTATATTTGTATATTTATGAAATGAAATAAAAAACACGAAAATCATTTTGGTTTTTTTTTTTTTTTCGAATTCCCTTAACATTTCATGATTTTATTATTTATAAACTACAATCATACTTATAACGGATTTTACCATAACTTGTTCCTAACGAACGGAGGTTTCCGCTACAGTTACACATCTTTCAAACCATTGACATTCGCTACTTTGGTGCCCGCTCTTCCTAATTTTAACAATTAATGGTAATCAATACCAAAGCAATTACGCCTTATCTTGTTTGCGAGAATTGGATGGAAAACTAATGCCCATTTATTTTTTTTACTAAAAAAATTTGAATTCAAATGGTTCATAACTCACTTTTTTTTTTTTATTCGAAAAAGTTCTTCAAAAAAGTTCAATAAATATATTCCAATCGATCACGCAAATTTTTTTTCTTAAAATTTTTCATTTACTCATATCTCTTAAAATAATTATGATAATTACAATAATCATGATTTTATGCCTTCCCATCAATATTTTCTGTTTTTTTTTTGCAAGATTTATTTTTGCATATTTACAGTAAAGTATATTGATAGAATTTTTCGTAAAAGATATAGTTTCTACGAAAAGTCTTAAAAAAAAAAAAATCGCCATAAATCTGATTCTTACGTGTAACAATATATAAAGTATCGTTTATATTTAAAGAAAAAACGTACGTTGTTCCGCACTTTAAAAAATCCAAAAGATTATGAGGGAGGTTACCTGAGCATACTCCTTCACCGGATGAAGTAGGGAGGGTTCGTAAGTATCAAAAAAATAAACGTTTAAATTCCTCGCGAGCGAAGATTTTTGTGTAACCAATGAAATCAAAATTTGTTACAACGACGCAATCATTTGGTCGGAGTCAAGTTTAAGCATGGCAAGTTTTTGTATAGATTATCGAATTTGAGGTAATAATGACAAATGTTATGGGATATCATAGAACATAATCTTATTATTAATACGAAAAAAAAAATATTGTGTTTGATGTGCGCATTCATTAATATATTAGTAATAAAAGTACAATCCGCGCTATATCACACAATTTTTCCTTACAATAAAAAATACAATCTAACTAATGATACAAATTTTTTTGTTTTTTTAAAAAAAAAAAAAAAAGATGATCTATCACACAATATTCTGTGGGGTAAATTTGGTCTCGACATGATTGGCGGCAATTTCACCATCAATAATTTTACCACCTCGTGAATGACTTGACCAATAGGTCCATATCAAAGTGGTGAATGAAGCAACGCATAAAAACATATTAACGTAACCAAAAGCTATCGTTGCGTTACCGACTTCTAAGCCGATAAATACTAAAGTTTCCAATTCACCCTTTTCCCAAGGTATTACTCTTGGAAGAATGACAGCCTTGCTCCAAATTTCGAATCCACTTACATGCGTTAACTTAAAGGCGGCTATAAAAACATTAGAAACATGTCAGTTTTTACCTTTTTATCAATTAAGAATTAATTTGCAAAGCATGTACGTACAATAAAGAATCCATAAGGTAAGTAGGAATCTATAATTGAGAAATATTTATACGTTTAACAAGAAGTTAATAAATTCATTGAAGTTGTGCATATAGGAAACCTTACCCCTGACATAGAAAATCCCATTTATTTGGCACTTTTTTCCATTGCTTTTCTATTGATATCGTGTAATATCCTATAATCGAAAACAAATTCATCCGTAAATATTTCTATTACAATGAGAAGTAAAAAAAAAAAAATTTCATCCTTTATCGTACCACTTAGTAAAAGCGTGAAGAAGTTTGGAATAAGAAGGTAAGCGGGATAAGGTGGGTTGCTGTGAAAAAAGAAAAAAAAAAAAAAAAAAAAAAAAAGGAATTTTAATAAAATTCATTATTTAATAAATTTACATTTGAAGAAAATCATTCTAATCACCCAATCATGTATTCCATATAACCGGTCGAAATAATTGCATCTAAAAATTTTGAAATTCACAAGAATTTTTTAATAAATTCATAATAAAACAAAGTTTTCATTGAAAATATGAAAGTACCATTGACAAAAACTATTGCAGCAAAAGTGAATTGTAATGTTCGTAAAATATGTAAGAGCAACATTATTATGATTACAATGATATTTTTCAAAAAAAAAACCACAAAGCATTTTATTTGCGAATTGATACGAAAATCTTATCTTAATGCGATATGGGTTCCCGAGTCCACCAAAAAGAATTAGATTTGCGCGTTATCGTTATCAATCTCGAATAATTTCCTTAAAGACAAAAAATAAATGCAAAATTTGAATTACAATGATAACAAACAACCAATAATTTAAGGGGATCGTGTTACGACATGCATAATGTGTATGTATGTATAATAAAATCAAAATGACAATCAAATTTATCAAATTTCTGTAATATGTTTCAACATTTAATTGTGTTCACAAACCCGGCAGGACGTTACATTTTTAATTTGACATTCAAAATTACCTCATCTGAATCATCATCCTAAATAGTTTATAATAAAAATTCCGAAGTGACAAGAGATTGTCCGATAACAGCTCCATATGTCACGTGGTCATGGGTTTTCAGATGGTAAAAAAGAAGAAACGTTAATAAGCCTAACATATGAACGCTTTGTATTAGAAAGGAAGTTTCAAAAAAATTAAATTTTTTTACTTTTCAAGTCCAGATTTAACATTAACAAAAAAAAAAAAAAAATATTGTAATTTTAGAAGGATTTTTGCAACTAAAGATGATGAAATTGATCCTTAAGGTTTATCCTGAAATTTTAGTTTACTAATCCATTAGATCCTAATCTTTTTACTTTCTATTTTAATAAAACTTGATGGTTTAGATCCCTTTCTCAAAATCCATCTAAGAAAGACTCGTCTAATAGATATCTGATCAGAGAAATTATAAATATTGTACGTGTTTCTTCTGTTATTTGTCACACATTTATTTTATAGATAGTGATTTTTTTTTTTACAGTCCTCCTGCGGCCGAACGCCCATATTTTGATTGATTGGTTGTTCGTAATGAACAAATGAACGAACTAAATCAATTTCACGAAATATCATGAAGCCTTTTTTTTTTAAAAAAAAGAAAAAAAGATCGAACAAGTTTTCTTAAAAACTTGTATTTTCCTAAGTTTCACAAAGTTGTTTCGCATGATTGTTTTTAAGTAAGATTAAGTAAACCACAATGATTTAAATTTTTCATATTATTCTATAATAATTCCGAACTCTAATACTTGTGAAAATTTGGTTTGAGTTTCATCAATATTTTGATTACAAAAATCATTGGTCAGACCATCAATAAACTGATTTATTGGACGGCGAGATATTAATAATAGTCGAAGACCAATATTTATTTATTTATTATTTAATAAATATGATTTTAATTTGATCATTTACGACTTTTTAACTAGTGTCAATTCCAAAATATGTAGAACATTATTCAATACACGTTGTTGTTATTTACTTGTTTCGTGAAACAGGCGACATTACCCGCATGATTATGCAGCCTTGTGATCACATTATGCGTAAATCCGGATTAATATTTTTTAAAAAGAAAAACAGCCATTTGATTTTGTTCTACATTAAGTACATCAATCAAATTTATTTTTATTTGAATTTTTATACAGATTTTTTTTTATTGACAACTAATATGTAATTTATTGTTCAGATTTTTTTTTTTTTTTTTTTTTTTTTTGAGGGTTAAATTTTATTTTACACATAAAAAAAAAAATGAAAATGTGAAATGAAAAAAAAATGAAAAATAAATGAAAAAAAAAAAAAGTAAGTAGCTTAATGATCAAATTTTATAGATATTCGATTACTAGATAATTGATTACTCAATAATTGATTATTAGTATCAAAACTAATATTCGTAAAGTTCATTTCAATTCGATTAATTTGACATTCTCGAGATTCAAAATTGCGTATCGACTTCTTATTGGTAAAAATGCCGCTACTGAAGATGAAAAAATCAAATTTAGTGTCACATGAAATTACTCGTCACGTTTGATACAGGGAACATACTTGTAGAAAATCATTATTCCACTGATGAGTCCGATAAATGGTGAGAATATGTTCCAAAAAAAATAATAGAAAACGTTCAATCCTTCAACGTATGCAACCTTCTCCTTATAAAATAATGCAAACGGTAATATAACGATGATATTAAACAACGACATCATTAAAAAGGTTATCAATGGAACATTTATCTATAAAATCAACGAAATATTTAAAAAATGAAATAAAATAAATAAGAAAAAACATTTTTCATTTAACACGATACGAACGTTTCTCTTTGCCCTTTTCCAAGTATTGATATCAGAATTACTACAGATGATATTGGAACCAATCTTTTGTATGCTTCCTTGACTTTCCACCTGATTTTTAATTTGGCAATTAATCACGCTAATAAGCTTATGATAAAAATAAACCACCAGAAGAAAGTATGCGATGGAAACAATTGTCCAACTTATGAAATTTATTTTAAAATAAAGCATTGCGGTTTCAATATCATCCCTATCAGCATAATATCCGGATAATAATGCTGTCGGTAAGATCAATAAATATGGATGAATCATAAAAAAAAATGCCATTACATCTATTAAGGTTGTATTTGTAAACGCGTTGGAACATCCAATGTTCGGTGTCGAATAAACTATTTTATGAATTGTAAATTTGATTAGAATTCGTTGAGAAAAAAATAAAGAAAAAAAAGCGATTTGCAACTTACTGAGGCTTATTGGGCAGAAAATTGCAAGTGAAACGCATACTGCAAGCGGTAAAAAATGACCCACTATTTTTCATATGACAAAAAATGAATCTTCAATCAAATAAAAAATTAAAAGATTTGAAATAGATTTAAAAAGCTTACATTCTGCGAAAATGACGTAAGGATATGATTCGGTGATCAAGCATATCACATTAAATAGTAACGCTAAATGAGAATCAATTACGTTAATGATGTTCAAACAAAATCATATGAAAGAATGAACTTGGGATTTCGTTTGATATTCGAATTTCGAATGGGAAATCTTGACCTTTAGCTTACCAGCATTATAAAGTAAAGCTATCAACTGAAATGAATGTACAGGTCTAGGCCTGATAATGCCTCTTTCTCTCGTAGCAGAAAGAAAGAATGGCTGCTTCTTTACTTTAATTAAATAATAAAGCAACGCTGTTCCTAATATTACATTTAATGATGTCAATGTAAGCGTTACCCAACTAGCCCTTGCGAAGAATTTATTATCACAACGATAAATGTTTATCCGAAAATCGCATTCGCAGTATATGTCCTTTTTACTTTGATCAGAGCGACACATTCGTGTATACCAATTTTCAAGTTTTACCATTAGAAAAGGTTAGAGATGAGTTGAAGTAAATATTAAATTTATTACGAACAAATTTAATATAATCAAGAGGAATAAAATGTGAAGAGCATCTGTTGAAAGGAAATGAAGAAAAAAAGAGAATGTATTTATAAGATCGATTGAATATCTTTAATATATGAAAAAATGTTTTTTAAATTAATGTATAATAAAGTTTAATATATGAAAAAAATGTTTTTTAGATTAATATTTTATAAAGCCAATTGAATGTATTTTTGAAAGAAAATGTAACACTCTTAAAAATTATTATTAGTGCTCCGAAAGATTCAATTCATAGATTCGTTACGACATCCGGATATACCCCTTTTGGCTACTATTGTCAATTAATAGCTTTACTTTATAAAGCAGTAAAAATAAGGTTTAAAATTCTCGTAAATTTTTTAGTAGTTAATTAGGCAAAGATCGACGAGTAGGATCTGGTAAAGAAAAAAACGTTTTAAATTAAAGATTCCTTTATTATTCACGTGTTGTCCCTTAAAAAAGTTACACCATTAATTCTTTTTTTTTTTTTTTTATTTTGAACTCGATTGAAGTTTGATTAAATTCGTCAGATCACGGATAAATACGTAAATGGTAATAATCAGAAATTGAGGTGACATTAATTAATATAGAATGAATTGCTCATATAGATTATACAGTTGTGCAACAAATAACCTGTATTAAATAATTAATAAATTCTTAGAAAATTGAAGAGATAAAAAAACATGGGAATATGATTTTTTCGTATCACCATAATAATGATTTTATAAAACAGGTCTGAATAAAAGACAAAATAACGTTTTCACCTGAGTAAAAGTCGCCACTTTTCAAATTTTAAGGTGGCGGAGTTAATTTATCCTTTGTACTCGTTTATCAATCTCAATAATAAATCATTATTATATTTTTTTAATAATAAGGATAAGGTTAAACGAATCTCTTTTGCAGGATTATTGAATCAATTTATAAACCTGCTGACCATTCAACAATTGCTACATATTTGATAAAGTATACAACATTAGTAATTGTGTCAGGTTTTCGTTTAGTAGTTGTAAACAATGCTCCATTCTTCTCGACAATAATAATAAAGAATAATTAAAAATCGATTGTTGCGTAACGCTCTTTCAGTGATAACCAATTGGATGCAAATACAAAACGTGCAAGTTAGTAAGTGGTGAATATTGACGAAATGTGAATTATATTTGTATGCCTAAACACTATTAAAGTTCAATTCAATTCAAATCAATTTATCAGAGTTTTAAATATGTAAGCAATTAATGGTACAATATTATTTTGTGGAATTAAATTATCTTTAATGTGTAGGGGATGGGAAGATTCCGAAGTGGACATGTCCACTTCGGAATCTTCCCCTCCCCTTACACACATCAGAATTTCCAGTGAAATGATTACATTTAGTAGTTTTTTGAAAGACCGAAATAAACGAGAATTGAAATATTGTGCTACCCATAAATAAGAAATTCAATTATTCTTCGTATATTTTCATTATAGCCGATGACACCCTTTTGCGTTTATTTTTTCGTCAACCGATTTTTTCATATTTATACATGATGGTTTCCACAAAATTATTGAAGAAAGGTAAAGCCGTAACGCTACATAAAATTCTGTTTCTACTCTTCATGTTACAATTTGGTCCATTCTCTCTGATCCTTGTGGTAATCAGAATTACAAAAATCAACACCCCTGTAATTAAAATTATTTTTATTTTATTATAAAGTATATTAAATTTATTATATGAATTTTATTTTACATCTATAATTAATTGATTTAAAATATCTGTATATATTAAGATTTATATTGCTAATTAATTAACAAATTAAAATTAAAATTTAAATCAAATCAATCCGAGGATATTTTGACTTCTTTTTGTAATGTGTATTTTTATAAAAAATAATTTTCTTAATTAAAGATTTGTAAATGAAGCAATATATTAAATGATAATGAGCACAAATCTTTTCTCTTTATAATGAATGAAGTTTTATTATAATGAACAGTTGTTGAATTTCAAGATAAATCAAAATTTCCACCGTGTTTGAAGATAAGTCTCCGGCTTGTTAAAATTTGCAAATAAACTTTTACCATGTATTATAATATTTAAAGATGTAGTTCATATCTTTTTTTTTTTCAGGCTTAGCTAGAAACTCGATTTTAATAAAACAACAAAATCAAAGTTAAGGTAATACGAAATGTTTAAAGTCATGAGTGGTTTAATTGATGTTGAGTATGATTTTTCATACTAAATTGCCAGGAGTTAACGTTAACGTACCGTTGAGTATGAAAAATCATACTCATCATCAATTAAACTAATCACTACAACAACTTTTCGTATCACTCCTTGCTTTATTGTTACGTAATATCAATTTAACTATATAATTAACTTAATTACCCCCTACTCCTAAAATTTAAACTATTACGCCTTATTGATTGATTTAAGGGCAATTCTTTAACTTTTATATTTCTCACGAAAACCACCCTCTTGATCATTTACTTAATCGAATTTTCTCATCCTCTTCAAAATGAAGTCCTCAAGGTCTGATTGGAAGTCAACAGCAAGGAAATTTCAAAAAAGACTCCAAAAGAAAGTCGGTAAGTGTGCTTCACGTATGATTCTTAATCTGTTCAGTGCCGACTCATATACGTCTGCAGTTTACCTCTTCAGATTGGTTCGGAAGTTTTGGAGGAAGTATATAATCATTTTCTCGAACAAAACGAATCAACCGGATATAAATTTCACTGGGAAAATGGAAAAGTATACATTATCGACATGGCAAAAGCTGTGCACCAAGGAGTTGTTTTACGTTTAATTAAATACTTTATGGTTCCAAATGGTGATGTGGACGACGATCCACCAATCGATATTGGTCTCCAAACATGTAAGATAATCCCCTCTAGTTCTTCTTGATCTTTGGATCATGATAACATTTTACAAATAACATTTTACATTTTTCCTCACAGTTCATTACAATCCTTATAATAACAGAATAAAAATAGCAGCAGATATTGCAATCCAACCGAATATAGTACATGTTCAACATCCTTTGAATCCCGGGCCTCCTCCTGGCGATTTAGAGGTACATCAAGTCTAATAATATATTATCACATTTATTTTCTTAATATTAATATGTTCTTCACATAGGAAAATCCACATGCACGAATCATCGTTGAAGTAGGCTCAGTTCAAAGTACCACTTTTTGGAACACAAAATGTGAAACTTGGATGCTTCAACAATACGTGAGATGTGTATTCGGTATTAAGCTTCACGATAAAAGGACAGGTTCAAATCATCGGTCTATGACGGTATGTCTAATTAATTACCTGCTTCCATTTCTATATTTTTCGTCTCTAAGAGTTTTTTTTTTTTTTTTGATATTAGGCCAAGTTATGGACCCGCCAAACACCAGCACCAGCAGGAAGTAGACCATCAACAAATCCAAATTTAGCAGGAGTATCTATTCTAGAAGTAAGATGATCGATCCACTGTTTGTATTTCCTGTGGTTAAGCATCTCAAAGCTTAAAAAATATAACTTTTAAAATATTATAGTGGGACTTTGGAACATTACAATTCAATAGTCAACGACCTACCGGTTGTACTGCCGCAGGCATTGCCAACTACGCGGTTACTATTCCAGTATCCGATGTCTTTTGGGACCCGCCCATCGTTGCAGGAGCTCCAAATGTAGCCGGATATGTTGCGACAATCCCTGCTGCAGTTACCGCGAATAATTTCGTCATCGATTTATATAGAATCCAGCAAGTCGTTTTAAAAAAACAAAAAAATTAAATAACTAATATAATATAGTTCTTGTAGATTTATATTAAATATCTTAAATTTTTACATAATGATAATAATTTGCAATAAATAAAGTGTGAAAGGTAAATCTAATTTGGCAAACACAAATATTTTATTATATTTTTGTTCCGATTTATTGACGTACAGTACAAAATTGGTAAATGTGCTTTTCAAGGATTTTATGTGATTCTGAAAAAAATAGGGATTTTGGAAAATGAAGATAATTACTTAACGTTAATCTTTTAATTTACTTTTATTTTCAGAAACAAGATATTTAAATACAGTCAAGTCTCGATATACCGGCCTCGTGGTTCAGGAAAAAATGTCGGTATATAGAGTTCGGTTACATCAAAAATTTTTTATATACCAAACTCAAATTGTATATCGAAAACACGTGATTTATTTTTATATCGAAGACTCAATAATGCTCCAGAAATTACATCAATAAAAATCTCCTAAAATTATATTAAAAATTTAACCAATTGTTTAATATCGATTGCATCTTACTATTCTTATCAAAAAAAAATCATTTGTTTTTAAGATTATATAATAAATTTCTATTTTTGAGTTCAATAGTAAAAATTATTAGGTGGATTATAATACTTTATCTAACGAAACTAGCGCCTCTGAAGTAGATGTTTTGTATATTTAATTCTTTTTTAGGTTCCATTTGATTTACCATTTTTACAATTTCTTCATCTGTAATTTCTACTTCTCCATAATTATCATCATCATCAACTAAAATAAATTCCTCAACACTCATAAATTCACTAGAAGCAATATCAATTAATTACTATTTCATTTAAATTATCATTATCATTTTGCTCTTCATCAGAAGATAATGATAAAGTGCTAACTGGAGGCAAAATTCCTGTTTTTATCCAACAATTATAAATGATTTTATTTTTACAGCTTTCTAAGCTTCAGAGCAAAGTGAAATAGTAACACTTATTTTTAATTTAAGAATTGGTATATTAAATTTCTTCATCATCATAATCTTCAATTCTTTATTTAAGTATCTTTATGATTGCATCTATTTTCATAATTAATTCATTATTTAAATATATAAATATTACAAATTAATGAATAAAAAGTATATAAACTTTAAATGAATTAATAATGCCAGCATCATCAGATTGCAAGTATGTTAAATTATTTAAGGCATATAATAAACAGTAATATTTATTAGCAATTCTAAATTATTGATGAAATAAACTAATACATTATTTATCAAAAAAAGAATTTTTCTATTTTGATTTTTTATTTTTTAATTTAAGCATTTCAAATATTTATTTTAGTTAGATGTTTACATTAATATACTTTATTTCAAAAATAATCAATTGAAAGTTTTGATTATCAATTTCAATTAAATTTCTTTCAGATTAATATTTATAAATAAAAGAACTAAAAATTTAATTATACCAGTTATTTAAATATTAATAAAATTGTAACTCTATTTTTTGATTTTTGATTTAAAAAAAAAAAAC